CCCCCTTCCCATTGATTCCTGACGACGGCCCACACCCCTAACCGTTTTAAACCTTGATTTTTTACATTGCATACCTTTAAAAAAAACCCGAAACATTCTCACACTCCACTAAGCCCTGCCACCCCACCATTTGCGGATATCCCCCATCACCTCCCCCCCCCGAAACCCCCCTTTCCCCCGCCCCCAATATCCCTCTGCTTCACATATACGCCTTACCCCTCCCCAATGCAATCAATCCCAGTCCCCCCTCCCTTACCCAGTCATTACTACATTTTTGCCCAACCACGCCCTCCTTAGCCCCACACATCCCTTAAACTCTTCTTTGCATTTCCATAATATCCTGACTTTGAATGGGGTAATTTTCCGCACTCCCCCACACCTTACAAAATCACGTATTTACCCCCCAAAACCCCTTTGATGAAAGGGTTACATCCCCCGGGCCCTTAGACTCCTCACCTACTCAAAGCCTGCCATTCCCTTTTCGGAATTAAAAACCCTCCTGCCTCCCTTGCACTGCCAAAAACAAAATCCCACAAATCTTTAGCCTATCTAAAGTTATCCAACCAAAAACTCCCCCCCCCCAAGGGTCCCTCCTACCCAAAGCCCCTCCCCCAAACAACCGTGATTCGCTTATTAACTCTCATCCCAGTACTTTCCCAAAAATCTAAATTACCCTTTCCCCCACTTTTCTTAAATCTTCAATCTCATTAAGAAAACGTTGTACATCTACAAAACCAACAATATCCCACAATATCCCCACTCCCCCCCCCAAACCTTCCCATCCCACCAAAACCGAACATAGAAAGGATTCTGCATACAGCAAAGATATTTGGGAGAGTGGACACCCCTCCTTAAACCCTTCCCATGTTTACGAACACCCAACCTCCCTTTTACCTGTACCTCTTGTGCATTCCATACAAATCCTCACCCATCCAAAACCCCCCCTCCAAAACCCTTCTCCCCAACTCTCAATCAAAAATTCCCCTACCACATAATCATAAGCTTTCCCCCCAATCCAGACCTAAATACCCCCCTTTTTACTACCCTCAAGGAAACCCCAATACGACCATGACCTACCCAACTCCTCCCCGGGGATACCAAACTGTCCCCCATGTACCCCCGCCCCCCATACCTTTTCAGTCAAAAACCAAAAAATTTTTCGAAAAAACCTTGAATCACACCATCAAAAGATTTTAAAAACGGAAAGCATAAATCTCTACCCCCCCCCCCCCTTTTTTTTGGCACCAAAACTATGACACCCTTTTTTGTACTTTGGATATACCCAATTCCCACATTAACAAATGGTCCAATAGCCTAACAAAACACTGCCTAATCCCCCCCCCAATTTTCTCTAAAAAAATCATTGGTAAAACCGGGCACCCGGGTGTTTCCCCGGGTACCAAACCCGAAAACGCCTTTTCCACCTCAACCTCACTTATCCCAACCCCCAAACCCCACTCTATCCGCTCACTTAAAACGCTAGGGAAACCCCCCCCTTCAAAAATCCCTCCCAGGAACCCCCCCCCCCCCAACCTATTCCTCAAACCAACTATCAGCATAGAGACTCATACTTTTCCCTATTGGGTAGGACTCGACTCACTGGTACCCTCCCCCCCAGGGGTTGTCTCCAAATTTTAGAAGGTGTTTAAACTCTGTCGGGCCCCCAAATTTAAATAAAACATACCCAACGGCTTTTTCACCCCACAAAACATCCCTCTAACCCCCCCTAACCCCAATTGCATCAAACCACATTGTTAATTTAGCTATTCACTCCGCAGTCTGCCATACATCCCTCCTACCACCTCCCCCAACATAACAATCTTGCAACTGTCCCTCCAGATAATTTTGGGGAACCCAAAACGCCCCCTCCCTCCTCTCGTCCCCCACCTTAAAAAAATTCGCTAATTTTCCCTTTTGCCTGCATTTCCCCCAATCTAACAGACATCTCCCTTTCCTAGCCTCCCAAAAAGGCAACCACCAAACACTGAAAAAAGGGCCCCGCCCCCCCTCTTTAAAAGCCTTACATTTAATTTCCAGTACCCAAATAAATACGCACCACTCCATCCCCCATCAAATCGCTATTACCGCCCGTGATCAAAAACCCCCCCACGAAGGTTTTTCACCCTCACAACATCTAACCCGCTTTAAAATTAAAAATTTTGTCTAATCGCGCTTTTTATATCCCCTACAAGAACTATGCCCACTAGGAACCCCCTCTCCCCACCCCACAACAACCCCAATTCTCCAAACATCCCTCAGCACACTCAGCCACAACCCCCCCCTCTCGGGTTTGCATCACCACTCCCAATCACACAATTCCCAATCACCTCCATTACTGTTATAGCAGCCAAAACCCCCCAATGATACAGCAATACCTCTGACAAAAACTACTTTTTAAACCCGATATTACTAGTTGCTGGTGTAAACTCCCACGAAACTCTCGACTCTCACCCCCGACGCCATCCACCCTCACGATCCTCCCCCCCCCCCCCCCCTTCCCAACCGAGAACCAAGGGGGTGTTCTTTACCGCAACTGCTACCCCACCTTTCAATTGCAAAACCCCGGTTACATACATCCATATCCTTTCACCCCAAAACACTACCAGCCCTGGATTAGCTCTTGCAAAGAGCATATGCAAAATCAAACCCCTTTAAAAACCACCCACCCCAAATTCTTACCTCAGTCCCCTTTAAATCCATTAAAAATAACGTGACACATCTGAAAATTACAGAGGGGCGGCTTTTTCCCCATGCCCCCTGGGATTTACCCACTGCACTTTTTTATATTACGTGTTCCTTTGCCACTCGATTTCCCTTCAGTCACCTCCCCCCTCCCTTTCCCAATTTTCAACTCAGGCACCCCTCTACCACTATGTTCCCGGCTCCACAACCGCTGCCCATGACTTCTTCCCCCCCTCTGCCCCGGGTAATACCTCATCTATCTCTGATGCCGCAGTTCGTTTCCTAGAAATCACACTTTCAAAACAACACCCTCAACAAATCCTCCGGTGTACCTCCACGGCCACCACATCTCCCGCCCAACTTTCTCAAGTCTTCCTCAACAAATTTTTTGTCCCTCCAAACTCCAGCTTTACATGAACTAGGACACCTTTTGCACAGGGTTCCTCCTCATCCAAAAAATCCTTGATCACATCGCCAAAAACCCATCCCGGGGTTAACTCCTGGACGAAAGTCTCCCAGATGACCCTTTAACTCCCCCCACCCCTGGTAAGTGACACATGTCTCCGCCGCCGCCACCTCCCCGGCGACCTTTTTCGCTCCAAGTCATTCCTCCCGGGCCCCCGAGGCTCAGAGCCAGGCAACCAAAATTTCACGACTGTTAATCACAATTTGGGGGTTTCGAAATTCGAGAAGCCCGCCCCCCTGGAACTGGGCTGCCAGTTTTCATAAGAGCTACATAACACATGTTTTTCCGGTTCCCAGATAGTACACATAAACCTGTTTCTACAAACCCATCAACGAACTAGGATGGGATAGGCCTTGTTAAAGACATTTTTTAAAGGGTGTAAAAAACCTTTCCCGGGTTCCTTATATGGGCCATCCCTCCACACCCCCATTGTTCAGAAGCACTGTCCCATAAATTTGAAAAAACTCCTGCAGGCCCTAAAGCCGAGCCTCGAAGGTACATTCCGTACCTTTTACCCCTTGAAGTACTTAGAGACGCATGTACCCAACATCCATGTTGAATTTACACTCTTCTTTTGTTCCTTTTGGGGAATGCTCGACAATTCTTTTGGTAAAATCGACCCTTTGAAATTTCAAAAGATTCTTGTTAAACCCTTAAGGGCGACGCCATACAATTCCTCGTTGGGAATACCATATGTATCCCTGATGATGTTAGGGAGAAGGACGTTCATCGTATCTCCACTTAAAGTACCACGAACCAGCTCTATGCAGATAGTATTCACTCTCCGTACTGTATGTTCCGCCATGTTGATATCCCAATGAGCAGCGCACGTCCTCACTACTCAATGGTTGTTGCTGAACTAAGGTAGCTCGCCTGAAGACAGCAGAGGGGTGCCGAGCACAACTGCACTCCACCGTGGTCAGGCAGCGAATCTTTTAGATGGGTTAGGCTAAAATAAATTGCTCTTGTTATAATAAGGTTAGGTAAGTTTTCTAAGTTTCTTTTGGTGCAAAATTATAAATTTTTACATCAACATTAATGAAAAAAATATATCTTTAAACGACGTATAAGAGAAAATTTTAGAAAGGACTTAATTTTAAATGAGTTCTTGCTAATTGACCAGTTTTACCTATTCGGCACGACATTATATATATATATATATATATATATATAAAAAAATATATATATATATATATATAATATATATATATAATATATATATATATATAAATATATATATATATTATTGTTACCATGAACGAGTGGTATTTATTCAATAACAACACTCCAGCTAGCCGAGCATTTGAACCCATGTCGTTTTGGCCCGTCTCATGGTGAGCGAAAATCACATGACGCTCTAACGCACAGGACCACGCAATCCTACAAGAACCAAGCACCCAGCAGAGCCAAGCGTTTTTCTATGATCCGAGAACATACGGTGGTGTGGGTGCCTATGAGCTAATTTCATTCAACTCCCCGCTTGGTGTACTAGTTTCACGAGCAGCATATATATATTATTATAACCACGAACGAGTGGTATTAATCAATAACAACACTGGGACTTGTCGAGGATTCGAACCCATGTCGTTTTGCCCACCTCATGGTGAGCGGAAATCACACATGACGCATGTCGCCTCATGAAATTAGCTCAAAGGCACCACACCACCATATGTCCTCAGATGACGGTAAAACACCAAGCTCTGCTGGGTGCATCATTCTTGTAGGATTGCGTGGTCAAATGGGTTAGACCGTCATGTGTGATATTCGCTCTCCTTAAAAGTTTTGTTCTCTAAAGCTATGTTTACAATTGTTTTTTTTATTTTTATATACAGAACAGCAGACTTATACTCACTCAGCTATTACGAAGAGAGCTTGATTAACGTCCTCAGGTGTGATGGGCTGAGACGAGGAGAGCCACAACACCTGAGCAGTGTTACCAGTGCCCAGAATCAGTGGTGTTGCTGAAAACATTTCTATGTTGCTCAATGGTCTCAACCAGCCTCCAGGTTCAGCCACTACCTTCCTGGGCTCAGTCTCCTCCTCCAAGTTACGGGAGTCATGCTGCTGGTGACTTCTGGCTGCCCAGTAGGTGGTGAGAAAGTGGTAGGCGATCAGCTGTGATGGAGTAGAGATTCCATATATGGAAAGGTTAATGAAGGCTGGTTGCATCTGTATGTCCATTCTCGCGAAAAATAGGTTGCAAGAGAATGAGTACGACATGATGTTTTTTTGCAAAATTTACTTAATATCATCACGGAATATGAAAGATACGAGTTTGACGCACAGGATGCCATACTATAAAGCATTATAGTGGAGTTACTTTAAATATTAAATATTACTGAGTGCGAAAATAAGTTACTGAATGGATTTAGAAAGGAAGACGGCGATAGATGACTCCACCTCTCCAGAGTCAATAATATATTAAGCCTGTTTAACTTACAAGTATTTAAGAAAAATAACTCAATACTGTAATGCTGAAAAGGAGTTTATTTATATATCATGAATGAAAGAACTACTTTTTAAACCCTGAACTTAAAACCCAAACATAAAATGTTTTAAAGGGCCCGAAAAAACGAATATACTTGGGTTTAGGGAAGTTTCCCGGGAGGGGGAAAATAGGCGTATGTTTGGAGGCCACGTGGGGGGTGTCACGTTAGGGGGTTTTGGAGGAAGCAGAATGCGGACAACACTATCAACTCCCCTTTAATGGTCAAAAAAATCAAATTTAACAATGGGCTATGTAACAGCAGGGTTTTTTAACAAATATTCACTTTAAAACCCTCCCCTACTGAAAGTTTATTTTTTTCTTGAAATAAAATCACAGTTTTAAAGAGCACAGTGACCAAATTGATTTTTCCTTTTAAATCAGCTGACTTGGGGGAACCTGTAAAAAAAGAAAAATGAAAAGACAACAAAGGGTTTTCCAACTTTTTAAATTTTTTTACACCAGTGAATTTACAATTTTGAGGGGCTGCTTTTCCTATATTGACTTATTTTTCAAGCAAAAATTTTGTTTTTCCTTTCCCCAGCTCATTTAAAAACTAAGAGGGTGTTTTCCTTTTTGGGTCTTCCAAACCCCTTGGGAATCAAGGTATTTTATACTCTCTCCTCCCCGGGTTCCAAACCCCCATTTAAAATTTTAACTGCTTTGGGGTACAAGGAAAAGAGAAACTTAAACCCCAACCCTCTCCCCCCACCCCAGGATTGAACCCGCTTTAGGTTTTTAAAGTCTACAGTTTTTTTTGGGCCCTACGGTTTAGCCCCACACCTGTGCCCGCTACAGCGAGCTACAAAGGGCCCCGTGCCTGCAAAAGTTGAGCTAAAAGCAAACCCGTGGGGCCCGCTACAGCTGAGGGTAAAAGGGAAACCCGTGCCGCAAAAGCTGAGTTTTTCATGTCCCCTTTGGGACCTTTTTCAAATGGGCCCTTAAAACTCTTTCCCTGCTACAACCCGGGTACAACCCACTTCCCCAAATCCTCACTCCAACTCGCTCTCCCACCCCAAAAAATAACTCCCCCAAAACCCCCAAAAACTCCCCCCTCCCAAACCCTCCAAAAATTTTACCCCCCATTTCTGCAACACAGTTCCTCGCTCCCCCCACTTCTACAACTTTTTTTCTAAACTCTTTCAACTTACTCTCCTCCCACAAACTCCACCCCTCCCCCCCCCCTGCAAAATTCTACATTTACCCCCATACCCTTTCATTTCATTCCCACTTTTCTCATTAATTTAAAAACTTTTTTTATAAATTTTAAATATTTTTAAATTTTATAGTACCAAAAGAAAATTCCAAAGGGGCCCGGTTATGTTGCGTCCCCGGGGTCCCCCCCCCCCCACCCGATGCCGTGGGGAAATCTCATTTTTGCAGGTGAGCTACAGACGCTTAAAGGGCTGGACTTCCCATTACTAAACCGCCTGCTCCGTAAACACCCTGGTGTCCTCGCGGGTTTTCCACTTACTCCTAAACTTTTCCCCACTCCACACCCTAAAACTCCCACACCTCCTCCAACTCCCTCACACCAAAACTCCCACACCCCAAACTCCCACCCTCCTAAATTCCCACACTCACAAAACCTTCCCACATTTCCTACAACTGCCCAAACCCCTTACAACTACCCACTCCTAAAAACTCCCCACCCTCCTCAATTTCCCACACTCCTACACACTCCCACACTTACAATTTCCAAAATTAAAAATAACTTACAACTTCCCTTAACTCCCCTCCCCCCCTACAATTCCCAAAACCCCTACTTTTCCCAACTAAAACACACACCTCAATCCACACTCCTACAATTCCCACTCCTACAACTCCCAACTTCCTACAACTCCAAAACTCCACACTCCTACAACTCCCACCCCTACAACCCCATCCTAAAAATTCCCACACTCCTACAACTCCCACATTCCTACAATTCCCCACTCCTACAACTCCCACATCCTACAACCCCACACTCCTACACTCCCACACTCTAAAATTCCACACCTCCTACAATTCCCACACATCTACAACTCCCCACTCCTACAACTCCCACCTCCTACAACTCCCACCTCCAACAACTCCCACACTCCTACAACTCCCACACCCCTACAATCCCACACTCCTACAATTCCCAACCCCTACAACTCCCACACCCCTACAATCCCAACTCCTACAACTGCCCACACTTTTACAACTCCCACACCCCCCTACAACTCCCAACTCCTACAACCCCACATCCTACACTCCCACACTCCTACAATTCCCACATCTTACAACTTCCCACACTCCTACAACTCCCACACTCCTAAAACTCCCACACCCTACAACCCCCCACAACTCCCCACTCTAACAACCCCACACTCCTAAAACCCTCCACACTCCTACAACTTCCCATCCTACAATCCCAAAATTCTACAACTCCCACCTAAACTCCCACACTCCTACAACCCCACCTCCTACAATCCCACACTCCTAAAAATCCCACACTCCTACAACTCCCACACTCCTACAACTCCCAACTCCACAACTCCCACACATTCCTACAACCCCATACTCCTACAACTCCCACATTCCTACAACCCCCTCAAAAAACTCCTACAACTCCCACATTCCTACAACCTCCACACTCCTACAATCCCACATCTCTACAACTCCCACATCCAACAACTCCCACACTCCTACAACTCCCACACTCCTACAATCCCAAAACTCCTTAAATTCCCACACTTCCTACAACTCCCACACTCCTCCCAACTCCACACTCCTACAACTCCCACATTCCTACAACCACAACTTCCCACACTCCTACAACCCCACACTCCTACAATTCCCACACTCCTACAATCCCCACTCCTACAACCCCACACTCCTACAATTCCCACACTCCTACAACTCCCACACTCCTACAACCCCACACTCCTACAACTCCCACATTCCTACAACCCCACACTCCTACAATTCCCACATTCCTACAACCTCACACTCCTACAACCCTCTAAAACTTCCTACAACTCCCACACTCCTAAAAACTCCCACACTCCTACAATTCAACTCCCACACTCCTACAACTCCCACACTCCTACAACTCCCACACTCCTAAAAACTCCCACACTCCACAACTCCCACATTCCACAACCCCCACACTCCTACAATTCCCACATTCCTACAACTCCTCCCACACCCTTTACAACTTCCCACATCCTACAACCCCACACTCCTACAACTCCCACATCCTACAACTCCCACATCCTACAACTCCCACACTCCTACAATCCCACACTCCTACAATTCCCACACTCCTACAACTCCCACAACTCCACACTCCAAACAACTCCCACACTCCTACAACCCCACACTCCTACAACTCCCACATCCTACAACCCCCCCAAAACATCCTACAACTCCAATTTCCCCAAAACAACCCCTACAACTCCCACATTCCTACAACTCCCACATTCCTACAACCCCACATCCTAAAACCCCACTTCCTACAAACCCTCACAACCCCCCTTTACAACTCCCACATCCTACAACTCCCCACATCCTACAACTCCCACACTCCTACAACCCCCAACTCCCACATTCCTACAACCCCACACCCTACAACCCTCACACTCCTACAACTCCCACATTCCTACAACCCCACACTCCTACAACCCACATTCCTACAACTCCCACATTCCTACAACTCCCACATCCTAAAAACTCCCCACACTCCTACAACTCCCACATTCCTACAACCCTCACACCCCTACAACTCCCACACTCCTTACAACTCCCACACTCCTACAACTCCCACATTCCTACAACCCCCCCACTCCTACAACCCTCACACTCCTACAACTCCCCCCCCACACTCCTACAACTTCCCACACTCCTACAACTCCCACACTCCTACAACTCCCACACTCCTACAACTCCCACACTCCACAACTCCCACACTCCTACAACCCTCACACTCCTACAACTCCCACACTCCTTTACAACTCCCACACCCTACAACCCCAACTCCTACAACTCCCACACTCCTACAACCCTCACACTCCTACAACTCCCACACTCCTACAACCCTCACACCCTACAACTCCCACACTCCTACAACCCCCACCATCCTACAACTCCCACACTCCTACAACTCCCACACTCCTAAAACCCTCACACTCCTACAACTCCCACACTCCACAACTCCCCACCTCCTCCCACCCCACACTCCTACAACTCCCACACTCCTACAACCCTCACACTCCAAACAACTCCCACACTCCTACAACCCTCACACCCTACAACTCCCACACTCCTACAACCCCACACTCCTACAACTCCACACTCCTAAAAACTCCCACACTCCTACAACCCCCCCAAAACTCCCCCCAACCCCACACCCAACAACTCCCACCACTCCTACAACTCCCACACCCCTACAACCCCACATCCAAACAACCCCACACTCCTACACCCCACCACTCCTACAACTTCCCACACTCCTACAACCCCACATTCCTACAACTCCCACACTCCTACAACTCCCACACTCCTACAACTCCCACACCCTACAACTCCCCCCACCCCTACAACTCCCACATTCCTAAAAACTCCCACACTCCTACAACTCCCACATTCCAAACAACTCCCACAC